GGGGAGCTGGTTTCTGGAGATGCTGAAGAGCCTGTTTTTGGCTACATTGACACTGAGGTCCCTGGAGGACACCCACAAGGAGACGTCCAGTATGCAATTGGATCAAAGGGTCTGGAGGCCAGCAGGGAAAGCAGGGGTGGAGTACTGGGATTTGAAAGTCATGATCATTTCCTAGGTGGGGACTGGGGCTGGGGAAGGGAAAATGCAGTGGTCAAAGGTGGAGGCAGGTCTGAAGGGTAGCTTTGAGGGGGCTGCTGTCCTGGGCGTGCTTGTAAGTCGCACAGAAAGGACCCAGTTGGACTGTGGGCGGGGGTGAAAGCAGCAAGGAGGGGCAGACTCTGTAGTGTTGCCCATCCTCTCAGGGACCAGGAACTCCCTCTGTGCCTTCATTACAGCCGAGGAGAGGGCACAGGGGCCAGGAGGGCAAGGGACAGACTGGTATTTGTTTGCTCATTCGTCTATTGGTTCCTGGATTCAGGAGGGCACTTGGGTATGGCTCCACTCTGGAACAGGCCTCTTATCCTTGCCCCTATGTCCTGGAGAGTCCACAGAGGCATGGAGAGGTAAAATGATTTGCCCAGAGTTTCAGAGCCAGTGGGCATCCAACAGAAATCTAGAAGTTCAATGCCTTGCCTTCCTCGGCACCACAAACCTGGATGGAGGAGCAGTACTAAACCGGGAGTCACGTCTCCTCCTCAGGTCCCCTGCTGTCCAGACACCCCTCTATGTATGCAGCCTGGCTTTTCCAGCAGATCACATGCTCCAAGGTTTTGGGTATAAATCTCCCAGGGAGCCAAGCTCTTCCTGAGTCCTGTTCTCAGCTGAAATCATGCCCCACTTGGGTTGAACTTCCAGCCCCTCTCCCGCCTACCTTCCCCCAAGGCTGGCCGGCTAACCTCTAAATAGATTACACAAACACTTGAATGCGTGATTCTAAATACTGCAATTTGTCTGTACTGTCTGTTGACCTTTGCCTCAAGGCCTTTGACATGTTTTGCTTCTCCAGGGTTGTGTGTTTTGTTTCATCAACAAAGTGACCATGTGGTTAATTACTCTTTGACCTCTGGGGTCAGGGTCTCCATCTGGGCAGGAAACAGCCCTGGCTCCAGGAGTTTCTGGCCTCTTGGCATTTAGTTGTCACCACCAATTCCCCCTGAGCACCTTTCCCCATCTCCCTGCAGTGTCCCCGCTCTGCATGTGATCAAAGGGACTGGCCAGTGCAGAGCTTTGTGCTTCATGACTTACATGCCCTGCCTTCTCATCCACCAAATGCCTTCCCTCAGTCCCATAGGAAAGTGGCAATTCTCAGGGACCTGGACTGTACCCCGACTGCAGGTTGTCTACACCATCATCTCCGAGTTCCTCCCTGGAAGATGGCTGAGGAAGGTATAAGGTTCAGAAGCTGAAGAATGCTTGTACTTGAGCTCAGTAGAAGACGAGCAGAGGAGGAAGGCTTTCCTGGGGCCTGCAGCTGGGAGAGTGGGTTACTTTTTGGCCCCAGGGACGGCCTAGCCCCTCCCTGCTGCTGGGATTTTGCCCCAGAAGACTGGAGGGCGTCACCAGCTTGACTTCTTGCCTGAAGATCCTGCCTCAAGCCACTGCTTTTCTTTGTGAAATGTCTTCCAGGTGGCTGCTAGAGACATTGGTTATAAAGACCCTCACTGGAACATCTGCAGAGGAAGGCTCAGGTAGCGAGGTGTTGTTATGGGGCCCCCACATCCACTTGCTGAAACTCAGCTTGGAAGAGGCAATGCCACATGTGCAGCAGGAGCTGGGCAGAGACACAAATGCTCTGAGTGATGCCCAGGTAGGGGTGGGTGGAGATGGAGCTGAGAGAGACTTCCAGCTGGGCTCTGCCTCAAGGCCAAGAATCGGGAACACAGAGATAGGTCGGAAGGATGTTCCTGGTGTAGAGAAGAGTGACAAATCCACGAGGGCAGAAAAGCCAGGGCTCTTGTCAAACCCAATGGTTCCTGGAGGCTGAGGGCAGAGTGTACGAAGGGCAGAGGGCCATGCTGGGGTGGAGAAAGGGTGAGGCTGGACCATCCAGGCTGAGAACTGGGATTTGATTTGACGAGCGATGCAGAGGCATTCAACACTGTTTTGCTCAACCAGGAAAACACTCCAGTTATTTCCTATGCCTTATGGCACATTTCATTGGGTTCCAGTTAGAAACTAGAGTCTCCATTATGGCTGTTGGAGCCCTTTTGAGAGATGGGGATAGAATTTGCTGTGGTCTTTCCTGAGGTGAGAGACATGCTCCAGTCTTGGAGGAGCCACTTCTCCTCTCACCCTGGTACCCTTCAAGGGCAAAGCTGGTGCCAGCCAGGCAGCTGGGGTGAGGGTCAAGGCCACAGCAGTCCCAGAAGCTCTAAGCCCCCAGGCCCACCTTACCCACTTGTCCTCTGCCCAACCTTTCTCCCTCAACCTTTCCTTCCCAGGGAATTTGGCAGAGGTGAGCAACACTCACAGCCCAGAACGTTCTGAGTCTGCCCTCCCTTTCACTGTCTTCAAAGGACTTGGAACCCTCAAGACAGCACAGGGGGCATTTGCATTGTGGTACTGGGTCCCGCTGATGCAGGCGAGGAAGAACATGGACTAGGGTTGGGGTTTAATAACTCTTCCTTCTTTATTATCAAACTCATTTGGGAACAGGAACATGTATAAATTTTTGATGACATAAAAGCCACATGAATATTCAGCTGCTAGGTGTGTGCTTGGAATGTTCTATCACGTCCAGACTGAGTCCTGCTCAGTGAGGAGGTGGTGCTGCCCACCTGGGGATGAGCTGATGTGCGTGGGGGTCATGGCAGCTGTGTCTGGAAGCTTGGCTGAGTGTCACAACAGGGGCACCTCTGTCGTGTTCTTCCAACTTCCTCTGCCCTATCAACCCACCAAGGAATGCAATTCTTGTCCTTTTCCAGACAGAGCATGCCAATTTGGCTTCATGCTGGAGGATCAAACAAATCTGCAGCAAGCCCGCATCAGGTCTTGTGGGGTAATGGTAAGGCAACGATGCTCAGGTTCAGAGGCTGCCTGCTATGAATCTTGGGGCTGCCAACGGCTGTGCTGAGGGAAGGACAGTCAGGGTCTGGAGTCTTGGATCTACCATGTCTGGGCCCCCTTCTGCTGTCAGAGCCCTGTGCCCATGAGATTTCGATGCTCTGGCCACTCTACCTCTAGCCACCCCTCAAGGGCAAAGCTGGTGAAGGCCAGGCAGCTGGGATAAAGGTGAAGGTCACAGCTGTCCCAGTAGAAGTGTGTAGCAAGGCCAGGGAACTCTGGGGATCAGCAGCCCTCATGTCCCAAACCACATACCCAGCAATCAAGTAGTGTGTGGGTCACTGTGCTCAAGGCCTGAGGCAGAAGGCCACTGCTTCTCTGAGTCCACCCTGGAAGGACAGCCAAGTGGCCAAGGCTGAGTGATGGGAGTGAGCATCCCGGGAGCAAGGCCTGCTTTGCCTTGGATTCTCCCTTCCAGTGCTTTTCCCTGGGATCTGTGTGCCCTTGGGCTGCTGGAGGAGCCTCTCTATCTCACTTTGGGCTGGTCAACCCTGCCCCTCCTAAAACCTCAGTGCAGATAGCTGTCTCCCAGGCTACAGTCATCAGGAGACCCTTTGGAGCTGGAGGGAAAATGAATGAAAAGATAAGTGCCAACTAGCCCAGTTAAAACTACTGGTCAGCCCAGGCAGCCAAGTCTAAGATGTTGGCTAGGAGTCCCAGGAATGCCTCAGAGCAGGGATTGGGCCAGAACAACCCGACTTGGGGGGCTGAGCCAGGAGCTAAGCAGTTGATTGAGACAGAGCCATGGACTCCCCAGCTGTGGATCCTTGTCTGAAATCAGAGGGTGATGAAGCCAGAAGTTAGGCCAGATCGTACAAATCCTGACCCAGGCACACTGGAAATAGAGAATTGAAACAAGAACCCCAGCTGAATGTCTACAGCCTAGTCAGCTTTCTTAGTGCCTTTTCAGAAAGCTCTATGATGCCATTTACATCATCCGTTCTGGGAGCCAGGTAGCAAAGGCTTTGTCTCCTCCTCCTCTTTTTTGTCAGATTGAGAAACTAAGCCCAGAGAGCTTCGGTGACTTGTCCATGGCAGAACGGGGCCTCAGGTGCATGTCTTGGGAGTGTTGTGTAGATGGGGGTGGTGGGGGCTTCAACAGACTTTTCTTTCTCACAGTTCTAGAGGCTAGAAGTCCAAGATCAAGATGCCAGCAAGGTAGGTTTGATTCTGAGACCTCTTCTACTGGCTGGTAGGTAGCCCTCATCTTGTTGTGTACAGGTATGACTGCCTCTTTGTGCACACAAGGTGGGAGAGGGAGCAAGCTCTCTGTGTCTCTTCTTACAAGGGCACTCATCCCACTATGAAGACCCCACCCCCATGGCCTCATCTAAACCTGATCCCCTCCCAAAGGTCCCACCTCCAAAGACCATCCCACTGCGGGGTTGGACTTTAACATATGAATTTGGAAGACCCATTCCATCCATAGCACCTGGTAAAGATCAGGTTGCCTTAGAAACGTCAAGCTTCTCCTGTGGGTATGTGGCCTCCTTGCCTCCTTCACTTGAACTTGCTTGGATCTTCCTTTGCCTTCTTCCAGCAATGGTTCATCACTTTAAGACTGACATTCCAGGCACACAGTGGATTTGGGTTAGCTTATCCACACACCCCCCTACCCCTGCTTCCCTCCCCTGTCCAGACAGCTGGGAAGATGCTCTTTTGGGGGCTTGACCCGAGAGCTAACCACATTTCCTACAGGGAGCACACCTGCCCATAATGAGAGAAGGAACTCACATGCACAGCAAATGGGCACCATGCCCTGGAGCCACCAGGCTCAGCTCCGAATGGACACATGAGGCACGGGCATCATCTCCACAGAATGGGTGGCACCAAGCCAACTGTGTCAGGCCTCAGCTCTCCAGAGAGCCCAGGAAGGGCGGTATCGCTTCCAGGTTCCAAAAGCCAGTTATGAGTTCCTGGCGAGTTGTAGTAGAAGGCAATTTTTATTAAGCAATGAAGCTGTGATAATGTTAGCACAAAGTTAACCTGATCTCAGCTTCCCACAGGTGGGCTACTGTCCCCCAGGGGGTTCCCCAACACGACTGTGGAGCAGGTGCTGGGTCCCCAAGGCCAAGGCCTCAGAATTCTTGCAGCTGAAGACAGGACAGCTTCTTACTAGATTGCAATCCATGCAGGAAAATATTTATTGGCAGACAAAAGGTGTTTTAACTTGAGCAGATTCTGCAGCCCAGCTGCCCATGGTGGGATAGGTGTGTGCAAGGCTGAGTGGCGGCTGGGGGCTGGGGACAGCGGTCACCCGCTGTGGCTGGGCTGCAGTCACACTAGCACACTAGGGATCATGGAGATCATGGGCTGCCTTTGTGACACAACTTTCAAGAAACAGGTTGTGCTCGGCCAACAATTACAAAAAGAACTCATCGGGAAAGAAAAGTAACTATCTACCCCCACCCCTTACTCCTGGGGGCTCTGTGAGCCCCACAGCCTCATCAGCCCATCTCCCATTCTTCTCTCAAGGCTTCATGAAAGTCCTCCTGGCGCTGCTACTCTTCCAGCTCATCCAAGTCAGACTGCTCTACAGACATGAAGTAGCTGATTCTCTCTGGCCCAGAGAAAGTCTCTAGACCCAGAAAGCCCTGGTCTTCTCCTTCAGTAGCTGATTTCTGCTGGGAAAAAGGAGGACAAGGTGGAGTCCTTTGCTAGAGTCCCTGGGCCCATTTCCCAGCAGTGGAATGATGCCTTTAGTTCTAGTCAGCAAGCTGTCTTTGGAACACAAGCTTGCAAACTGCTGGTACAAGTGGGAGCTGGGGAAAATGGGGCTTCTCCCTGCTTCTCTCTCCCAACAGCATCTTGGCTTAAAGACCAGCAGCAGAAGCAGGCCTGGGCTCTCCCAAACTTATCTTAACACCTACGGCTACTGGGTCCTGTGACTGGCCCTCCCAGCCCAGGTTCCCTACCAGCCACGACTAACCTTGGAAGGTCTCTCCCCGCCCCTCCCTTTGGACCTAGCCATTGCTCTGCTCAGACTAAGTGACTTCCATGTTGAGCCTGATTGGCAGCTACCTGAGAATGTGGCAGGGAGAGGTAACAACACACTCTGGCTGTGGACAGGGAAGGAGGGACAGACACAGATGGCATTACAGAGAGTGGGCTGTGGGAGTCTTTTCTGCTGGAGAAGGAGAGATCCCTTGGGCTGGGTTTTGAAGGTAATACAAGATTTCAACAAGTGGAACTCAAGGGAGTGGAGGAGAAGGCAGAAGAGACAGAAGGAGCAGGACTGGGCTATGGGCAGATAGCTGAAGGTGTCTGGGCACCCGGGCGAGGGAGGGTGCAGAGGGTGGTAGTGCTGAACCAGAGTGGGGTGTGGGGAGCCCCTGGAGTCCCGTGGATGGGGAAGCTCTGACACAGGCCTACCCTTAGCCGCTCCACTGCGTTCTCCCATGCGGGGAAACTTCCAGGGTCCCGCCTTCCTCACTGCCCTGGAATATCTGCTCAGCCTTGTCTCAGTTTTGTGTCTCAGGGCCAATCCAGAGGGTTAAGTGCCTTGAGAGTGGGCAGGCACCAGGGTCCCCCCAGAGTCTGGCTTGGTAACTAAACCACAGGGCCCACTGGTCGTCGGATCTCTTCATGTGGACAGTCCCTCTAATGGATCAACTTTCTACAGGGCTGGTGGCCCAGTTGGTCAAGGTGCATATGTGAAATTAATTATACCTTTAAAATATCCAAATATTTAAAATACTCAAACTCCTTTATTCTGCTTTAGTTTACTGAGGTTATTTTTCTTCTTGTTAGTTTTTGTTTTTGTTTTAAAAGAGGTTAAGCTCTGCCTTGGAAACACGGCCCCTTCAGACAGTCCCCAAGGTGGAGTCTGCCAAATATGGGGCCCTCCACAGATGGGTACTGAGCACGTTCAACAGAAGATTTCTTGCTTTATGTTCAGTACGAGGAAACACACCTGCACTAGGCCTTGGGTTTTGTGTCAGAACTAAAGATGCAGAAGTTCCAAAAGGGGACTGGGCTGGGGTACTGAGCTCAGCATGTGGCAGGACTCCTTTTGCCCAGGTAACATATTTTTGAGAAGTTTCCAAGTCAGACTGCATTCAGTATCCATGAGGGCAGCTCCCTCTTTCATGGAAGCTTCTCCCCATGATGGCTACCTCCATGTGACTCACCACCCTCACATTTATTTGAGCTTTGAAGTGTGGATTTCCGGCCTGGAGCATATGGGGAATGGGTCCAGGCTCCGGGAAGACCCTCCCTACCTGGGCTGGGGGGCAGAAGAGAAGTAGGTGATATACCTGTGCCCAGGTGACCTGGTCCTGCTGGACGGCCTGCTCACTAGGAGCCCAAGTATTCACTCGGAGGGAAAGGTGACGCCGTGAACCATGCAGCTGCGGCCAAAGTTGGACGTAATCCTGCGGGGTCTTCAGGGTGACTAACTTTGAGTCACAGCTTATGGGAGAATGAGGAAAGCTTGTAGAAGAAAGCATCTCAGAGCCCGGGCTGTGTGGCAGTGGCAGTGGACTCATGCAGGGCCCCTGCTGGGCCTCAGGAAGGAAACTGGAATAGAAGAGACATGTAACAGGGACATGTATCTAGAAACAATGGCCCAGGAGACATTGTCTTGCTCATTGGTAGGGGCTTAGGGCACATCTGGGTTTGGTGGCTAAAGCAGGATTCACCTGCTCCTGCTCGCACTTCGGCCTGAATAAGACTCCATTTGCCAAAACAAAGTGGGTGTAAACGGTGAAGAAAATGAGTCAGTTGTAGCAAGTGGTTTTGTTTCTATTACTAGGACAGTCCTGGTTCTGCCACTGTGGTGACCTCTGTGGCCTTGTGAAAGTCACTGTACCTCCCCCAACATCAGCGACTCACCCCTTGTCACTAAAGGACTAGCAGCTCAGAGGGGCCACTGCTCCTTCTATAACCTGAAGTCTGGGGGTCCTGTGATAAATGGGCATTTCTGAGCATCATCTCAGACTCTGAATCTGCACTTCCACAACCTCCTCAGGTTGATTCGGATGATCAGGCCAGGGAGAAACATGGCACTAACTCACCCCATCTGTCAAGGTCACTGATCCTAAAGAAAGGCCCAGAAGGAAATCCGGAGAACTCCGGGCGACCTGTTTGGAGAACTGGCATTCATTCAAAAATATTTATTGGGTACCAAGTATGTGCTATGCAACCCTTCATTGCTGTGCAGAACCTTCTTTCTCTGGCATTTCGGACCAAATATTTTATCAGTGAGCAGAAAATGTGTTCGTGTCCTCACACTGCCTCCCAGGACTCGGTCCTTCTGTGTTCTTGGCTCTTTAGGGATCCGACAGCAATCTAGCAACTGTTTCACACCCACTTCCTCCATGGTAGATTGTCAATGCAATGGGAACCCTGTCACCTGATCTACTATGATCACCAGATCCCATGAAGTGGAAGAAGGAAGCCAGGAGCCAGGAGTTATCCAGCTGGGGACACTCAAGACTTCCCTATAGACACTCTGTGCCATGATACAGGGATGAAACCAAGTGATTTCAAGATCTGTATGCTAATTCCCTAGCTTGGAGACTTCATCTTCTCTTCCATCAATACATGCTTGGCTATGCACCAGGCACACGGTGGTGGGGGGTGGGGGGTCAGTGACCAGAGAGCAAGATGCTTTGGATGAAGGGACTTTTGGTGCCATGTGGGCAAGTTTCAGGCAGGGTGTCCAACCACAAGCCCTTACTACCATTCCAGGCACTTCTTACCTATGATTCCCATCTTTCTGGCCTCCAGGGTTTTCATCTTGATTGTAGCCAGAGGGCTGTTGCTCTGCTAATAGTTGGATGGGAACAATCATAGGCGGGATCTGCATAAATATAACAGTGTTACCACAGAGGGGCACAGAGAGGCCAGTTTGGCTTGGCATGTGCAGTTGCAGCGTCTGGTTTTCCACAGTGGCATTCTGTTCCTGCGGCTGCTCCTGCAGCCTCTCCTCCTGTGTCTGCTGCTCCTGCTGCTGCAGGTATTGCTCCTGCCCCTGAAGGTGCTGCTGTATCAAAAGGAAACGGAGAGGCATACTTCAGTGCCTGCAGGAGCCTCTCAGAAACCGACCCCTCGCACTCCATTCTCCCAAAACAGAAGACAACAGTAATCTGGCCTCTCTGGGCACAGTGGTCTGGGTGACCATCTACTTGTTTCACTGGGCATTAGTTGCAGTCACACTCCTGGCTGTGAGAAGCCACAGTCCCACCCAATATATACAGGTACCAGTGCATATGTGTCCAGGTCCAGTTTGCCAGGATTTTTTAAAAAATCTCTGGCAAACGAATTGAGCCAAATGAGTAGCTGCTGCCCACTCAGGGGCAACAGGGGAGCCCACAATGTCATGAGAACGAAATCCTCTTTCAGCTACACATGAAAAAGCTACAGATGAAACAGGAGTTCCCTACCTGGATAGAGGCAGCAGAGGGCTCCTCAAGCTCCTCAGGGAATTTGAGAGCAGGCGATGAACCACAGAGACGTGTGGACTCCCTGAGATCTGAAAAGGATCCCTTCATCTGTTCAGTGCATTGTTTCTTCGGTGGCGGCTCCAAAGACTGGGGCCCAGGACTGTCAATGGGGCGTGAGGTGGATGGCTGCATCTGTAAATATACGTATGACAAAGGTCTTATTCGAGGGCCACGGGCCCAGGACTGTCAATGGGGCGTGAGGTGGATGGCTGCATCTGTAAAGATACGTATGACAAAGGTCTTATTCGAGGGCCATGCCTTTCCTTTAAGGCACAAGACACGCTGGCCCGTAGAGCAAGATTGCCTATCAGCAAGCCCACAGGAAGCTTTGGTGACATGTGAGCCACATCTGCCACCCCCAGAGCTTAGCTGGGCCCATCTCAGATCCTGCAGCCAAGAGAAAAGGGGCAAAGCCTTAAGTCTGTGCTGGAGATCATTCCAAATGTCCCAGGCAGATTGGGGGCAGCAGCTGTCACTACTAGCAGGCTCTGTTGACTGACTCCTTGAAGACTGTTAAGGTCCCTTTTTCCTCTCCCTTCTGTCAGTTACATGGAACTGGTCTCTGACCTGAAGCTTGCAATGCTGCATTGCCTGAAGCTGCTCAGTCAACATCTCCAGTGCATCCCTCTGGCTTCTGATGTCAGCCTGCAGCATCTGAGTCTTCTCCTCCAGCTGTTCACTGAACATCTTCATCAGTGTCAGCTCACGTCTGTTGATGTATGATACAATTGACGGTGGTATTTGCAATGACTGTGGGAGGAATCACATATGGTTCATCATACATAAAGCCGCTAGGTGCTCCAAATTCTACCACATTGTTTTATTTCCAAATTTTGAAAGACTGAGAATGTGAATGATGGCCCTTCAACCCTGATTTCATTCATTACTAAACAGGTTGAAGAAATGGTTAGGGAATACAGGAATTCTATATCAGAAATGGATCATGGGGACTATTTAGTGTAAGTTTTCCCTCTAAGCAGAAAGCCTTGGAATTGGCCCAGAGGCATGAAGCAACCTTTCAGAAGTCCTAAGTGAAAGAGTCAGAGTGCACCAGGTCAGATCACAAGTGAGACATGTGGGAAACATCCATCGGATGCCCCTGACAGCAGTGCAAGAGGAAGACTGCTCAATGCGCACTTCCTGGATTCCAGGCACTCATCTAAGCACGGTACAGAATTCACAGATCTGACTTTCATGAGGCCCTATAAAGTAGGTACTGGCCACAAACACTTACAGTACTTGGAGGAATGCTCTCCTATTGGCCCTGGAAATCTAATTTTAACTTGAGTACCAGCCTCAGACCTGGAAATAAACAACTGTACAGGGTTATGAAATGAGAGAATGTGTTGTGGGACAAACTGATGCTTCAGGTTGGCTGGAATGGAGGGGATGAGGCAATCACATGTGGAAGGGAAGCCAGAAAAAGAGACTTGTACAGACCATAGAAATTAAGGTGGCCAGGGAACTTGGATTTTATCCATCGCTCACCTTGCAAATGATCAGGAGGAGTGTTCTAAAACACAGATCTGATTGGGAAAGTTACATGCTCAGATTAATGTTGTAGAACATGCTTTCTGGCAGCAGTGAACTGACAGGAGAAGGTAAGTTTGGAGTCAGAGAGAAACTACTTAGGAGGCTGTGGAGGTAATTCAAGGGGGAGAGACAGAGGCCTGAAACAGACCAGAGGCAAGAGACGGAAAGGAAGGGTCAGGGGAGTGTCCAGGATGGCATGGTAGGAGGACCTTGAGCTCACCTTCTCCCATGTGTACACCCAAATTACAATTATCTACAGGTCAACTATTGATGAGAAAGTCCTGAAGACCAGCAGAAAAGATCTTCTACAACTAAAAATATAAAGAAGGAATGATAAAGAGACAGGAAGGACAGGCAGTCGTAGTACAGTCAAGATCCATATCCAGGGGGGACAACCCACAGATAGTAGGATAATTACAATTGCAAAGGTTCTAGCCAAGGAGGGAATGGTCCAAACCTCACATAGGGCTCCCCAGACTGGGGATCCTGCACCAGAAAGACAAACCCCCAAAACATTTGGCTTTGAAGACTAGTAAGGCTTACTTTCAGCAGAGCCAGGGGCTTGTAGGAAATAGATATTCCACTCTTAAAGGATGCACACAAAATCTCACATGCTCCAAGACCCCAGGCAGAAGCAGTAATTTGAAAGAAGTCTGGATCAGACCCACCTGCTGGTCTTGGAGAGCCTCCCAGAGATGCAGAAAGCAACTGGAATTCACCCTGGGGACATAGAGGTTGGCAGCAGCCTTTTTGGGGAGCTCATTCTACCACGTGGACACTGGTACTGGCAAGCACCATTTTGGAATCTTCTCTCTAGCTTATTAGCTGGACCTGTACTGCCCACCATCTGTTGGCACCAGTACTGGGATGCCTCAGGCCAAGCAAACAACAGGGAAGGGACACCGCCCCCACCCACCAGCAGGCTCGCTGCCTTAGGAACATCTGAACTCCCAGTTATCCCAGGGCCTGACCCTATCCAGCAGAAGGCTCAGTACATGAACCTGACTACCAGTGACTCAGCACTAATCCCAGGACCTCCTGGGCCCCCACCCTGCCTACCAGCATGCCAACATCAGCTCTGGGACCCCAAGGACCCTGCAGCCAGAGACCCTGGGACCCAGATCTACCCACCATACGCTGTCACTAGCCCCGAGAACCCCTGGGCCCAAGCCTTACCCACTGGCAGGCAGACACCAACCCCAGCCCCACAGACTGCCCTGTCAGGACCTAGCCCACCAACCAGCAAACTGGCATCAGCTCTAGGACACCTTGAGCCCCAGCTCTGCCCACCAGCAGGCCAAGACCAACTCCAGGACCCCCAGGGCCCTGCAGCCAGAGACCCTGGGACCCAGCTCCACTTACCAGCAGGATGACACCAGCTCTGAGACATCTTAGGCCACTCAGCCAGACGCCCTAGGATCTAGCCCCACTCTCCAGTGGGCTGACACCAGCTATGGGACATACCAGACTCCTCAGCCAGCCATGTCAGGAACTGGCCCCACCTACCAGAAGGCTGATACTAGATCTGGGACCCCCAGCCCTGCAACCAGCTACCCTGAGGCAAAGTTCCACCCACCAGCAGTCAGCAGCCACTGCACGAGGCAAGGCCTGACGACCAACCAGACCAGGGGCCAGCCATACCTTCCAGACCACTCACAGAAAGTAGGTCACTATAAGATAAGGGACCACACAGCCCACATAGCGGGCAGCCCTGGGGAACATAGCTCTGGTGAGCAAAGGGGAGTATGCTGCTGGGACGCATAGGATGTCTCCTACAAAAGGTCACTTCTCCAAGACTGGAAAATGTAACCAGCTTATCAAATACATAGAAATAAAAAACAGTGAATTAGGCAAAATGAGGTGACAGAGGAATTTGTTCCAAATGAAGGAATAAGATAAAACCTCAGAAGAACTAAATGAAGTGCAGATAAGCAACCCACCCATTAAAGAGTTCAATGTGATGATGAAAAAGATGATTAAAGAACTCAGATATATCTTCCACTTAAAGAACAGGATGGCCCTGTAGCTATTTAGCTTAAGCTGTCCAGTCTCCCTTCTCCAGTGCTTCCACTAATGACCCTGTGATGTTTTCCAGTCCTTCTCCACCTTGCTGCCAATTTTATGGGTACACTCCAGTCCGTCAATCCATGGCACCCAGAAACAAGTCTATCACACCATCACATGCAGAGCCAGGTTACACATGCTCATTGCTGGTTATTTTGACTATTTTAAACTAAAGTTGAAGGGCTGGTACAGGGTTATGGGATTAAAAAAAAGGGTTATTATGGGATTATATGAAACCAGGTGTGTGAAACTTTGTACAATTGTAAAGCACTATAGAATTTAAAGAATCCTTCATTCAATTAAAAACTATTTTTAAAAAAGGTGATCAAAAATTAGCTTTAGCCTTCCAACCCTTAAATCCTTGCTCTACAGTGAAGAAAGAAAAAGAACCCTTAAATATTTATATATGCTCTTCAGGGCTCCTGTGTTACCAAGATGATTAGCAATATACCTCAATTTACACAATGTGTAAATTAATATGATATAGTCCTGAAAAATCAGATCTATTTTTGAAAATTAATTTCTATTTTAAATTCATTAAAGGAACCAGATATTTATGAAAAAAATAAAATTTAAATATAAATTAATTCAAAGGAGAAGAGAAACCTATCAACAGCAAAAGGGGAACCACAATTTCTTAGCATAAATGAGACATGAATAAAGATAAATGTATTTCTACAGAAATTTTCTTTTAAATAATGCAAAGCATTTTCATATCAGTCCAAAAATTCCTGCAAGGCAAGCAGACCATTTCAAGGTAGAGAAACTGAGGCCCAGGGATGTGCCAAGGCCACACTGCTGGGGCCTAACTGTTCTCTAGCCCTCACTTGTCATCAGAAGAGGATGCCTTTGGTACTAGGAATGAAGAGACTTGTCTAAGGCTTGGTAATTAACGAAAACAATTCCACATAACAGACCATAATCTCATTATCTTGGTTGCCAATCCTGATTATAATAATCATGTCTAAAAGAAAATATGATCATCCAAATCTGTTATTATGCACACAAATTTGGACGTAGAAGAGCAACAGAATGGTTAATCTGTTAAATTGTTTTGAACCATAAAGTGGTTCAAATTGGCCTTGAACCATACATTGGTGCTGACAGTTGAAGGTTGGATATATCTAACATTCTGAAAGGGGTGCTTCTAACCTAATAACAATTCCATTGGGGAAACCTAGCTCATAGTAGGGAAGTGTTGGTATAGGTAGGCAGGAAAGCCATCCTCCCATGAGACTCTTAAAAGCATGGCTCTTAAAAATACAGCCTTTTCTTAGTAGTTAAGCTTCTATATGGCTCAAACTTTCTCTCAAGCACAAAGTGTCTTTGCATGTTTTACATTAAGAGGAGAACAGGAATTTGGTCCTACTTAACGAACCTCCAATCTCCCTGTTGACTAGGGCCTACCGGATTCTCTGCTGCTCAGAAAATTCAGTACAACAAAAATGCTGATACAGTTTCAAAAAACAAAGAACATACTCTCTGCAAAGTGAAATTGAGTACAAGAGTGAAAATTCAGGACTTTGCAGGGTTAATAGTACAGACAAACATGTAGAGCAAGTCTCCCAAAGGTACCTCATCACTGATGTCAGTAATCACACTGGAACATGAGAAGATCTCCTGCTCCACACTGTCATCCTGATCTTCCTGGTCTACCTGGTCCACCTCATCCTCTTGCTCCATCTCAACCACCTCAACCACCTCCTCCACCTCATCCATATAATCCACATATTCCACCTCAGGTTCAAATTCAAAGCTCTGCAAAGATGATGTAGCTGAGGAAGAAAGGACAGTGGAATTCATGATCAAAAAAAGCAGAACTAAAATGATCAAACAGATTATACAGATTTCTGTTTATTTCCTGTTATGAATTATAAAAGCAGGAAAGTCCAGTTTTATTCCATGTTAAGGAACAGATGTGCCAGACACCAGGAGGAATTCAGAACTTTACTTAAAAATCTGTTCATATTTGAAAATGAAGTAAAAGGAGGGAATGTCTAACTTTACCTCCACCCACCCAAGTATAAGTGGGCCCCCACCCCATTCATGTTAGGTGTCTTTTCATTATAAAATTTTTTTGGCTATGCTTCTGGAAATTTGATACCTTCCAATTGATAAAACCAAATCAAACTTAGTCATAAATCACTTCTGAAAAACTAGTTTCCGTGTGGGAGGTGGGTATAGCTCAGTGGTAAAGCACATTCTTAGCATGCACAAGATCCTGAGTTCAATCCACAGTACCTCCATTTAAAAAAAAGAAAAGAAAAAGTGGGAAAAAATGGCAAAAAAAAAAAAACCCCTAGCTTCCCCAGAATGTGGGATCTTAGGAGTGCTTGAAGTGCTCTTAGAGTTGCTGCGGCATGACTTGTCTTCAGAAGCCCCAACAAGCAAAGTGGAGAACATTATTTGAACTATGCAAAACTGTAAAGTCACTTTGGGAAATAGTTTCGCAGTTCTCATCACACACACTTCCCTTATGACCCAGTAGTCCCACTCTCGGGAATTTACCCAAGTGAATTAAAAACATATTCACACACAAAAAACTCCATGGTGATTATTTCTAATCACCAAAAACTTGGAAACAACCCAGATGTCTTTCTTCAGATGGATGAATAAAAGAAAAGAAAACCCACTATGGTGCATTCATAAGATGCAGTACTACTCAGCAAGAAAAAAGGAATGAACCATTGATTCACACAACATGTATGAATCTTTTTTTTAACATTGTTTATTGACTTATAATCATTTTACAACGTTGTGTCAAATTCCAGTGTTCAGCACAATTTTTCAGTCATTCATGGACATATACACACTCATTGTCACATTTTTTTCTCTGTGATTTATCATAACATTTTGTGTATATTTCCCTGTAATATACAGTGTAATCTTGTTTATCTATTCTACAATTTTGAAATCCCAGTCTATCCCTTCCCACCCTCCACCCCCCTGA